TTTCTTGCCTTGTCCTTCTCGGGTTTTGGTGTCATAAAATGAGATGGGGAGACATTCCCACTTTCTGTTTCCTGAGTGTAAGATTGGTATATCTTTCTTAGATATTTGGAAGAATTCACCAGTGAAGTCATCTGAGACTGTAATTTTCTTTGTGAAAAGATTTTTAATTACAGATTCGATTTAATGGACATAGAGCTATTCGGGTTTTCTGTTATGTCAATTTTAGTGAGTGGTGTGTTTCAAGGATTTTATCCATTTCAACTAAGTTGTCAAATTTATCAGTTTTATAAATTGTTCATAGTATATACTCTTTTCAATATCTGAGAGATCTAACAGTGATGCCCACCTTTCATTCCTGATAATTAGCAATTTGTTTTCTCTTCTATTCTTCATCAGTCATGCTGTAGGTTTATCAGTTTTATTACTATTTAAAAGAACTAACTCTTGGCATTGTTGATTTTTGTCTGCTTTCCATTTCATTGATTCTGCTCTTTTATTATTTCCTTCCATTTTCTTTGGGTTTAATTTGCAGTTCTTTTTATTCTTTTAATTTTATTATTTGGCTGCGTCGGGTCTTTGTTGTGGCGCGCAGGCTCCAGAGCGTGCGGGCTCAGTAGTTGTGGCTCGCAGGCTCCAGAGCACACGGGCTCAGTAGTTGCGGCGCGCAGGCTCCAGAGCACGCGGGCTCAGTAGTTGTGGCGCGCGGGCTCAGTAGTTGTGGCGCGCAGGCTCCGGAGCGTGCGGGCTCAGTAGTTGTGGTGCGCAGGCTCCAGAGCATATGCAGGCTCAGTAGTTGCGGCGCGCAGGCTCCGCGGCGCGCAGGCTCCACAGCGCGCGGGCTCAGTAGCTGTGGCGCGCAGGCTCCAGAGCATATGCGGGCTCAGTAGTTGTGGCGCGCAGGCTCCAGAGCGTGCGGGCTCAGTAGTTGTGGCACGCAGGCTCCAGAGCGTGCGGGCTCAGTAGTGGTGGCACGCAGGCTCCAGAGCGTGCGGGCTCAGTAGTTGTGGCGCGCAGGCTCCAGAGCACGCGGGCTCAGTAGTTGTGGCTCAGGGACTTAAGTTGCCCCACAGCCTGTGGCTGGCGTCAGCTCCCGGACCAGGGATTGAACCTGCGTCCCCTGCGTTCGAAGGTGAATTCTTCCCACTGGCCACCAGGGGAGCCCCTAATTGGTGGTTCTTTTCCTAGCTTCTTGTGATGAACACGTGGGTCACTGAGGTTTAGCCTCTCTTCATTTCCAGTTTATGCCTTTGGAGCTAATACACTCCCCCTAGTCACTGCTTTAGCTGCATTCCATAATTTTTAGCAAGTTGTATTTTCATTTTCAACTCAGTTCAAAATACTTTCTAATCTCCATTGTGTTTATTTTTCCCATGGATCATTTAGAACTGTGTTGGGAATTTAGTAGTTATCCTTTCTGTTACTGAGTTGTGGTTTAATTTCACTATGGTCAGTGATCGTGAATTCAGTGACTAGGTTCTTTGGAGTATGTTGTGATTTGATTTATGGTCCACAGAGTTGTCTCTTTTGGAAGCATTCCATGTACACCTGAAAAGAATTAGAGTTAACTTTCCCTTGGGTGTAATTTAGGTTCTGCGTATGAAATTAGGCCAAGTAGATAGGTTTAATCTTCTGTATCCTTGCTGACTTTTTTCCCTGCTTCTATCAGTTACTGAGGAAGGTATGCTAAAATCTCCAACGATGATTATGCATTTGTCTCGTTCTTTTGCTTTATATTATTAGCTCTACACAAATTTAGGTATATTGTATATTCCTGATAAATTCACCCTTTTATCATTATGCACTGTTGCTCTATATTTCTGGTAATATTTTTTGTCTTAAAAGTCCACTGTGTCTGATAATCACTCTCATTTTCTTGGTTGATGTTGGCATAAGTGTATCTTTTCTAATGAGCGCACAGGTGAGACTTTTCATCCAGTATGACAGTCACTGTCTTTCAGTCAAAGTATTTGGTCTGTTTATTTTTATTAACATCTTTATTGGAGTATAATTGTTCTACAATGGTGTGTTAGTTTCTGCCATATAACAAAGTGAATCAGCTCTACATATATCCCCATATCTCTATCTCCTCCCTCTTGCGTCTCCCACCCTCCCTGTCCCACCATCCACTTATTTTTAATGTAATTACTGATACAGTTGGTTAAGTCTACCATCTTCCAGCTGCTTTCTCTTTGTCTCGTCTCTCCTTTATCCCTTTGGTTCTCCTAACTTGTCTTGCTTTGGATTAATAATAACATTTTTCTGTTCCATTAACTTTCTAGTTAGATATTTTCATTACTACTTTAGTGGTTACCCTAGAGATTATGCTTCCTTATTAGTTCATTAGTCCACCACAAATCAACGCAAAAACCCTACACTTGTATAAGTTCATTAAACACTCCCGTCCCTCACCTAGAAAGTTCTTGTGGTCACATGTTTGCATGTTTTAAAACCCTCAAGACATTATTGGGGTGTTTTTTGTTGTTGTTGTTGTTGTTTTGCTGCATTGGGTCTTTGTTGATGGGCGCGGGCTTTTCTCTAGTTGAGGCGAGCGGGGGCTGCTCTTGGTTGCGGTGCGCGGGCTTCTCATTGCAGTGTCTTCTCTTGTTGCGGAGCACGGGCTCTAGGCGCGCGGGCTTCAGTAGTTGTGGCACGCAGGCTCAGTAATTGTGGCTCACGGGCTCTAGAGTGCAGGCTCAGTAGTTGTGGCGCACGGGCTTAGTTGCTCCGCGGCATGTGGGATCTTCCTGGACCAGGGCTCGAACCCGTGTCCCCTGCATTGGCAGGCGGATTCTTAACCACTGCGCCACCAGGGAAGTCCCAACATTATTGTTTTAAACAGTCAATATTCATTCATATCTACCCATCCCCATGCTCTTTTTAAAAAAATATGTTTATTTGGTTGCGCTGGGTCTTAGTCGCAGGCTCCTTAGTTGTAGCTTGCCAGCTCCTTAGTTGCGGCACATGGGCTCCTTAGTTGTGGCATGCGAACTCTTAGTTTCAGCATGCATGCGGTATCTAGCTCCCTGACCAGGGATCAAACCCGGGCCCCCTACATTGGAAGCACGGAGTCTTAACCACTATGCCAGCAGGGAAGTCCCCATTCCCATGCTCTTCATTCCTTTCTATGTTTGTTTTTATCCAGAATCATTTCCCTCTAGAGCCTGAGTAATTTCCATAGTATACTTTTTTCTTGTCATACAATCTGCTGGATATAAATTTTTGTTAGCTTGTATTTGTGTGAATATATCTTTGTGTGTGTGTGACTATATCTTCATTATGCCTTTTTTTTCCCATATGTCTAGTATTTTTTACTGCATATTGGACTGTGGTTAATATAGTACAAGGTCCTGGCTCTGAAGAAAGCCGGATTTTGTTCCAACAGGCCAGTGAATTACTGGTTGGCTGCCTGGAAGAGCAGGGCTATTTTGTTTTGGCCCTAAGATGTCAACTTTACTCCTAAAATGTGGCCCTTCGAGGGTTTCAAAGGAAAACCAAGGTTTTCCAGGCCCTCTAACCCCAAGGGACTCAACTTCAGAACTGCCACCCTACAGTGGACAGCCGCTGGGAGCTCTGCTCAGCACACCCCGCCTTCCAGCGCTGTTCCTGCCCCAGGATTCTTGGAGTCTTACGCTAAGCTCGCACAGTTCAGGGGTCAGCCAAGGATTTGAGGGCTCCCCCTTCTGCAGCTCCCTTCTCTCCGGGAGGTCCCCATCTATTTCCAAACTCCTCCAACTCCTCAGGACAGTGAGACGGAGGCTTCCTGTGACGCTCTAGCACCCACGCCACACGGACTGATCCCTTCCAGTCGGGCTCCTGGAAAGTGGGGTGCGCGGGGATCCTGCAGAGGAGTTGACGCCTGGACTACAACTGGAGGAGGACTGACTTAGCCAGCGGAGAGGGTGGGCGAGTGTTCCAGGCGGGAGGGGCAGCACATGCACCCAGCGCTGGCCCTTCACCGTGCCGGCAGCTCCTGCACATGTTGGGAAGTAGAATGTGGGCTCAGGAGCCAGATGGCCTGGGTTTACAGTCCTAGCTTTGTCCCCTGCTCCTGTGACCTTGGGCAAGTGACCTTACCCCTCTGTGCCTCATCTTCCACACCTGTGCTGAGGATGATCGACAGAAGCACTTACCTCCTGCGACTGTCCTGAGGGTTAACTTGAGTCCCACAGCCCTGACCCCGCCAGGACTGGACGCACAGCCTTTGCCCTGCAAGCCTCTCTCTTGCCTTCACCAGGCGCCTGGTTCCTCCCGCCTCACCCCCAGCCCTTCACATCCCGGCTGGAGCTGAAACAGGCCGACGGCAGAGTGCTGGGCAGGCTGGACTCCCGCTGACCCCCCCCCCTCGGGGTGCCCGAACAAACAAACAAACAAACAAACAAACAGGTGACAGACAAACAAACAGTAAGAAAGCGTGTTTCTCCTCCCCGGCTGGTGTAACTCAGGCCCAGATGGAAATGCTGCCGGGTCCCTGCACCCGAGCCCCCAGCGCACTCTCTCAGCAGTCGCTGTAGCAGGTGCATTTATTACAAAAATAAGTAATGTGACATAAACACGTTTAAGTTCCGGATATGCAGCACCCACTCTTGCAGTGCAGCCTTATTTCAGCGCAGGCACAGCGCTCAGCTGTGCACGCCTCCTGGCGGGCGTGGGCGCACTTCCCACGGGCAGCCACCTCGTCCCAGTGACCTGCAGCGTCCCCAGGTGCGGCTGGGGCAGGTCTGTCCTGCGGGCCCGGGAGAACCCCACGTCACGTCTCGCACGGCCTCGGCCTGACTGACAGCTTCGGACGTCAAACTCCACACCAGAGGCGAGGCTGAGCCTTCCTGGGCACGAATGCTCCCAACCCCACCTCTCCCTCCAGCCCCACCGGAAGTGACCCCTGACCCAAGGGGGACCAAGGGGAAGGCTCAGAAGCACCCCCAGCCTGTTCTGGGGGCCCCGCGTCTCGCTGCTGCGTGCTGGGAGCAGCCCCCGGGCCCCGGGCCGCCGGCCAACAGGGCTCACTGGCAGCAGTCGGCCACGTGCCGGAAGAGCTCCTCCCCCTGTTCGTCGCTGAAGCACCGCAGGCAGTGAGGGCACTGAAGGTCCCCCTGGCCTCTCTGGGTTGCTCCGGGGCTCCCGCCCTCTGCGGGGAGTTCTGGCCACTGGGATCCCATCCCAGGCCTCCAGCCACCGGGTGCCACGAGCTCCGAAGCGTCAGTCTCCAAGTACCCGGGAGTTTTGCCCCCAATGTGAATCCGGCAAGAGCCTGGCTCTCGAGGATCCTGGAAAAAAGGCAAAGGGTCAGCTTACGAGGCCGGCCTCAGGCTCCAGCAACTAGAGATACACCTGTTGCACAGTGAGACTTGCACCTTCGCTCTGCCCGGTGCTGGGGCCCAAATGAGGACGTGCTCCGTGAACAACCTCCTGCCTGTGCTCACAGAGGAAGAGGCCCGAGCTGGGGTGGGGGTCGGTGGGGGG